CGTAACTATGGGGCCAGGGAAAGGACAGAACTAGAGCACTGCAACCAACATAGACGCCTTCAGTTCTGGGCAAAACAACCTCGAAACATGCAAAGTCCTGATTCAGCTGGGCACATCTGTGCATGTCTGCAATCCTAGTGCTCAGGAGGCTAGGACTGCCCAAGTTTGAGGAAGCCTAGGCTATACTACACAATCTCAATTATTCATTAATTATTCATTAATTTTTAGGGGCCAGGAAGATAGCTCAGCGGCATAAATGCTTGCCTGGAAATGTAAGGGCCCAAGTTCAATCCCCAATACTGCAAATAAATAATCAATTAAAAAATAAGCTTTTGGGCTGGCCAAATAGCTCAGCAGTCAATCGCCGGGCCTGATTGAGACTGGATATGGTGGCATTTACCTATAATCCCAGTACTTGGGAGGCTGTAAACAGGTGGACCACTACAAGTCTGATCTAGTGGTGAGACCCTGAACACCCTGTAGACCCTTCCCTAAAAATACAAAACTGTAAAAATTCAAAAATTCAGACCATCATCTCCAGATATCATCCCCATCAAAGTGAAGCAGATTCCCTAGAGAATTAAATGGCAGACACCAGGCCTGGCGGCGGGGGGAAGGAATCACAAAATGAACCTATAACTCCTCATACTAGAGTAAAGAAGCCAAAGAAAAAGATAAACACAGAGTCTACGAATGTTTAAGACAAAAAAACAAAACAATGTTCACCAGGAACTTATGGGAAAACTATGCATTATCAACAACTCCATTTCCTCTTCTGAAACATGTCAGGCTCACACAAAATGGAGAAGGGAGCCTTGGCTAATAGCCTCCCACAGTCTCCACCTCCCTACAGCCCGGGTCCACCCCATAGGAAGCTGCTGAGGAGCAGGCATGCTGGGTACAAGGTCAAGAGAGCTGCCAGGATGAATTTCACAAGTCAGTCTAAGTAACCGAACATACCACACCTATTTTGTAACTTTCAAAGGGAAAAGTAGCTCAGACGCCGCCACTGGCCCATGTTGCTTGTTCTCTTGTTGCTCCGCTTCCCAGCCACCCCAGATCGCAATGGAAGAAGAAATCGCAGCTCGTCATTGACAATGGCTCCTGCATGTGTAAAGCTGGCTTTGCCGGCGATGACGCTCCCTGGGCTGTGTTCCCCTCCATTGTCGGCCGCCCCCCGACACCAGGGTGTGATGGTGGGCATGGGCCAGAAGGATTCCTATGTGGGCGATGAGGCCCAGAGCAAGCGTGGCATCCTGACCCTGAAGTATCCCATCGAGCATGGTATTGTCACCAACTGGGATGACATGGAGAAGATCTGGCACCACACCTTCTACAACGAGCTGCGTGTGGCCCCCAAGGAGCACCCAGTGCTGCTGACAGAGGCCCCCTTGAACCCGAAAGCCAACAGAGAGAAGATGACTCAGATCATGTTTGAGACCTTCAACACCCCGGCCATGTACGTGGCTATCCAGGCTGTGCTGTCCCTGTATGCCTCTGGGCGCACCACTGGTATTGTCATGGACTCTGGTGATGGGGTCACCCACACAGTGCCCATCTATGAGGGCTATGCCCTCCCCCACACCATCCTGCATCTGGACCTGGCTGGCCGGGACCTGACAGACTACTTCATGAAGATCCTGATGGAGCGTGGCTACAGCTTCACCACCACTGCTGAGAGGGAGATTGTTCGTGACATTAAGGAGAAGCTGTGCTACGTCGCCCTGGACTTTGAGCAGGAGATGGCCACAGCTGCTTCTTCCTCCTCTTTGGAGAAGAGCTATGAGCTGCCTGATGGCCAAGTGATTACCATTGGCAATGAGCGCTTTCGGTGTCCAGAGGCGCTTTTCCAGCCCTCTTTCCTTGGTATGGAATCCTGTGGCATCCACGAGACTACCTTCAACTCTATCATGAAGTGCGACGTGGACATTCGCAAGGACCTGTATGCCAACACAGTCCTGTCTGATGGCACCACCACGTACCCAGGCATTGCTGATAGGATGCAGAAGGAGATCATAGCCCTGGCACCCAGCACCATGAAGATCAAGATCATCGCCCCTCCTGAACACAAGTACTCCGTGTGGATTGGCGGCTCAATCCTGGCCTCGCTGTCCACCTTCCAGCAGATGTGGATCAGCAAGCAGGAGTATGATGAGTCAGGCTCCTCCATTGTGCACCGTAAATGCTTCTAAATGGACTGAGCGTTGATTCCGAAGTATAATTTGCCCTGGCAAATGTACAAACCTCATGCTAGCCTCATGAAACTGGAATAAGCCTTTGAAAGAAATTTGTCCTTGAAGCTTGTATCTGATATCAGCACTGGATTGTAGAACTTGTTGCTGATTTTGACCTTGTATTCAAGTTAACTGTTTTTCGGTCTGTTTTATACCCTGTGCGTATCTTTGATTCATCCCCTTAGTCAATGTGGTTCGGTCACTTGGTGGTTGAGTTGAGCACACTTGGAGAAATCCGTGGCTTGGCAATCTGGGTGGCCGCAGCACAGATCTGTGCAGGGTATTGAGTCGGAGCTGACTGTTACAGGATTTCTCGGGCTGGCAGGACTTGGTGAAGCAGTTGTGACTCCAGTCTTTTTGCTGGTCTAACAGGGTGGGAGAGTCCGAGCCTTACAACCCTGTTTCCATCCACCATCATTGTTTTCCCACCTGAATACTGGCGGTGGTTTACTTGCCTTGAGTTGGAAACAGTTTGCATTTACATCTGTAAATTTATTCATTCTTTTAATTTATGTAAGGATTTTTTTTGTACTCACTTCTTTTAAGATGACAAATTTTTGGTTTTCTACTGTGAGAACATTAGGCCCCAGCAACACGTCATTGTGTAAGGAGAAAGAAATAAAGTGCTGCAGTACAAAAAAAAAAAAGAAAAGAAAAGAAAAGTAATTGTCCCCTTTAAAAGGTTGGTGGAGGGGCCGGGGAGATGGCTCAGTAGAAAAAGCGCTTTCCTGGCAAACACAAGGGTCTGAGTTCAATCCCCGGTTCCGGAAAAAATAAATAAATAAATAAAAATAAAAGGTTGGTGGAATGTGTATTTTAGGGCCTTTTTCACTGTTCTTAAACAATTGAAATACTCATTCTAAGAATTTTCTTTTGGGGAGGAAAAGACCCCAGTGAGAAGCATGGAGCAACAAGCACAGGCAGTGCGGACTCACTGGCACAAAGCCCTGCACCCAGGAAAGCCAGGGGCAGGGGCTCACATTTCTTATTTAACAACTTTGCTGTTTCTCAAAATCTCAAACTGAGCCAGGAGAGGTAGGAAGCTTTTGGGGACTGAGACAGGAAGATTGTGAGTTTGAGGCCAACGTGGGCTGCAGAGAATTAAAGGAAAGATGCAGTACACAACATCTCAAACACAAAAGCAGACAAATCCAGAACCATGAAAAATCCCTGTACTCGGGAGCACGATGAGACAACGGGGGGGCTGGGGAGATGGCTCAGTGGAATAAACCCTTCCCTGGCAAGTGCAAGGGCCTGAGTTCAAACCCTGGTTCCGCCTAAATAAATAAATAAATAAATAAGACAAGGGGTTTGCAAGTTCAAGCTCAGCCTGGGCATCTCAGTGAAACCCAGTCTCAAAAATGAAAACAAATGTCAAAAGAAATCTCAGATAAGTGAAAAAACTGAGCCAAAAATTTTCTACAAGCTACAAAATTGTTAATGGTTCTTTCTTGAAAGAACTTAACCCAAGAGGTACTCCTCCGAGGGCTGAGGAGAGTGCTCCGCAACCGCAAGGGCCTCTCAGCCCGCCCAGGGTTCTGCACACTTGACCCAAGTGAGTGGAGTCTGTTCTCTGGTCCAGCCTGAGGAACTCAGGGTACTGCCAGCCCAGAATACACAACAATGCCAATCCTGCCCACACACTTAACAGAAAAGTTAAGTTATGATGCTTTATCCCACTTTATGCACAAGAAAGTAGGGGTGGTTGAATTATTTCAGCGAGGAAGATAACAGAATTTAAAAAACAAATTCTGCACACCATGGACCATAGTCTATAGACTTGACTCACCACCAATATATTGATCCATCTTCTGTCCTGCAGCCTGACCCCATCCCTGACCCCCAGGCTACACCACCACTTCCCCACATCCTTGTCTCCAAGGCTGAGCCAGGACCACACATTCCCCTAGGCACTGTGCCCAACACAAAGACAACAGGAGTTGCCTGGAGGACTCATGCTTTTGTCTCACACAAACCACAGTTTCAACACCATTTACACAAATTACAGAGGGGCCCGGAGATGGTTCAGTAGAATAAGCGCTTCCCTGGCAAGCACAAGGGCCTGAGTTCAATCCCCGGTTCTGCCCCCCCACCCAAAAAGCTATCTGATAGGTTAAAATTTTTAATGGATCAACAACAGCAAAACAGAAATTATCTAAATTCTTTGACGAAGCCTTTCTTTTGAGACAGGACCTACCCAGTAGGCTGGCTCCAGTCAGTCACAGCAAACCTTATGCCTCAGCCTGAGATGACAGGTCTGTGTCACCATGCCCTGCTTTGACTAAGGTTTTTATACACAGGACTAATTATAAAGACATGGCAACTTCTTGTTTATGTATAAATTCGTTATTTCTGGACTAGGGATATAGCTCAATGGCACAGTGCCTGCCTGGCAAGCACAAGGTCCTAAATTCAATGCCTGGTACCCCAGTCCAAAAAAACTCTTATTTCTTGATTTAATTTCATATGTAATATGAAATAGTCACACTATGTACAACTGACATGCACAATTATATGCCATGGTTTAATTTAACAATTCAGGTTAAACTTCCAGGACTGGATAGCACACACACACATACATACATATACAATCTACTGATGTAGAACCTTCTAGAATATAGGGAAAATATAATGCATTTCATTTCACAATGAATCCTTTGGTGACAAAGCACCTGATGAAATGTAAACACCAAGAAAAAGTTTCCAACACAAGATATCAGAAGCCACCACACAGCAGGATGAGGTTTCCAGGGACATCACACCTACCGTAGTGTCATTGCTGGTGACATAGACCAGGACATCGGAGGAGTTCCTGCCATTGATGTATCGGTAGCAGTTCCAAACACAGCTAATCAAGTATCCCTGAAAGAGAGGTCATTAATTTTACTCTCCAAACTACAGATAATGTAAAATAGCACATAGACAAAACCATACTATAAAAGCTTTATTTCAATTATCACATTTATTGCCCCTAAAGATACAAAGTTATTAATCCATTTATCACTACATTTTACTTCTTGTTTCTTTAGGAAATTTTAGGGCTGGTGAGATGGCTCAGTGGTCTAAAGCACCTACTTAGAACAAGCTTAGCAAAGCACAGGGACCGCGGTTCAATCCCC